CTGATTTGGTTCTGCTGCATCTGCATTTGTGCATAGCATTCTCAGAAACGCGTAGCATTTCTATTTTGTATGGAGCATTACGCCATATTCAAACATGTGCATGTGAAACATAATCCATGTTGTTACCACTTTCTTTTTAGGTGTATTTCCAACAGATGGATGATTTCTTTCGCCCGTATGGTATTCAGACCGTTGTGTTTCCCAACAGAGGTGTTTGGTTAAGTTTCTCTCCCCAGTGGGGTCGCCTCCAGAGTTTCTTGGTTAAGTTTCTCTCTCCTTGCCAGAGTTACTTGTTTAAGTTTCTCTTTCCCCAGCGGATTTCTTTTGTGACTTGTCATAAGAAGATTATCAACTGCGTGTTGATCCGGCCTTCGGGTTCGATGCTCGCTTTTATTTAGCGAATGCCTGCTGGTTAGCAGATATTTCTTGTCAAATGTGTGTTGATCTGACCTTCGGGTTCGATGCTCGCTTGTATTTAGTGAATGCCTGCTTGGATTAGCAGATGATCTCAACTTCGGGTTGAGACGGCCTTCGGGTTCGATGCCTGTTTGTTTAACAGATGCCTGATGGCGATGTCAGATGTTGTTCTCAGCTTCGTGTTGAGCCGGCCTTCGGGTTCGATGCCTATTGTTTCAATATATGTCTGATGGTGATATCAGATTATCTTTCCGACTTAGTTTCGTTGCCTGCGTGTTAGCATATGTTACTTCCGACTGCGTGTCGATGCTTTCTGATTGGTAATCAATTAGTTTGTTGTTGTTGCAACCATCAGTTCAGTTGTTTCCGGAGATTTTTATCCCCAATCAGAGCTCGCAGTTTTATTTCTGCGGTCGACAAATTTCCGGGTTTTTTGGTATTCAACTGTCTTTTACCTTGATTGTTTGAAAGTCGTTCGCTTTTCACTCATTCAGGTCCAAGTCGCTTGAATAGGGGCAGCTATTGTACCCCAAAATTTGTCCAACCTCTTTCTTTACTTGGCTTATGTTTCATTTCATTTCTTTAGCATTTGCATATGCATAGCATGGTTCTTTGCAGGGGATCAAGAGAGGTGTACATTTCAAGAGAAGGTTATCAAGGGTTCCAAGCTTAAGCAAGAGTGTCTACTCAAGTCATCAAGTTCTTGTGGTCACCAAGAGGCAGTCAAAGATCATTGAGAGAATGGATTGGTATGTATTGCTCACCTCCTATCTTAGAGGTCAACTGAGGTTCATAAGCTCATGGATATGTATATGAGATGATTGGAGAGCTCATTGGGTGCTTTTGGAGCCATTGGGGAGCTTATATAAGTTGTTATTTCATGTGCAAGAGGTTGCAGTCAAGGATTGTACACCTAGGGTTTCATCTGCTTAGTGCAAAGACAACTGTGGATTTGAAGGAGCTTGAGACTTGGTTTTAAGTCATTGGATTCATGGGAAGTTGTGTTGAGATATCTAGGATGTTATTTCAAGATCAAATCAAGAAGAATCAAGAGTGTGAGAAGTTACTAAATTAGGGTTTCAGAGGTTTGTCAGTGTAAAATCCCATATTTAGTGTCTAACTTCAAGACCACATATCTCAAGATACAAGTGTAATCCCACTTTGATGCAAACATGAGACTTTTAGGGCATGTTCTAAGTTTTCGTTTGAGTACTAGAAATCATCCATTGGGTTTGTAGAACTCCAGTTGTGATGCCATCAAGTTATGGGTCTCAGATGAACATATTTTTCAGTCAACAAAAGTCAACCAACTTCCAAGGCGTTTTTGACATATAATCATGTTTTTCCGCAACTTTTGATGAACATGAAAGTTATTCCTTAAGATCTTAGCTTTCCAAAAAGTCCTAGAAGTCCTTTATCTCATTTGTGGAACTCAAGTTATGAAGCTTGCAAGGCAGGGGTATTTTGGGAAACTTTGATTATAGGTCATTTTGATTATGGGTCATTTACATGCTTTTGTGCACTTCAAATGGAACTGTCACCAACATGAAAGTTGTCCCAAATGACTTAAAATTCATCATGGAACTCAAGGTTAGCATGAATTTTGCATGGATAAGGAGATTGGTGGGGGATTTCAAGTGAAAAATGGATGTTAAATCATGAATTCAATTGAATTGGTTCTAGGACTTTTTCATGCCATATTTGTACTCAAAATGGTTCACATTTGTCCAACAAGTGAAATGCACAAACTAATTTTGGCGTATGAAGTAAAAATCACGTGTAATTCAAAGTAACATCACAAAGAAGTTTGCATTCCAATCTCCATAATTGGATCAGCTCAAGTCCCAATTCCAATCCACATGTGAAGTGCATATTCTAAGCTGTAAAATGAAGCAAAATTCAAGTGTGTATGGTGTGAAATTCACGTGTGCATGAGCACTTGCCAAATTTGGGCATTTTCAAAATTCAAAGGAGCCAAGCCTCATTGGGCCTCCATTGCATCAGATATCCATAATATAAAAGCTCAGAATCATTTTTGAGAGCTCAGAATGTGCAATTCGTGGAAGGAGCTCTGAATCCAAACTTGGAAAGTGGGAGAGAAATTCAAATTTGGAAACTCAGATTCAAGCCATTTCAAAGCAAATTGAAGCAACATTCTTCTTCCTCAAGTTTAGTGGAGTGATTCTGCACATTTCGGATCAAGCTCAACTGCATTTGAAGCTCCAACAGAGAGATTCTGTTAGGTAACTTTCAGATCTATAATTCTCTCATGTTAGGAACTTCATCTAGGTCATTATTGGTGCATCTGAAGCCCTGCACAATGTAGGCAATGTTTGGCATCTTGATTGCTATGTATGTTGAGTTTCACAATTGAGCATGTGAATTTTCTTTCGTTCGAATCTCTTAATTCAAACATGATAAATGAATTTTGAGCCTGGATTCATGATCTACGTGGCTTGGCTTTCAATTTGACGTAGGATTTTGTAGGATTTTGTTAGGTTTGGAACCCTGAACTCCAGCCACCTTGCCGGAGAAGATGACCGGAGCTAGGGCTCCGTCATCTGGTTCAACCTCAGGCCATCCTACGTGTGAATGTTTCACATGTTGACCAGCTCTGATGAACGGATGAGATTTGGCTGACTTGCGTGCGTGGCCTTGTTGACTGCCAGGTTAATTAATGGAACGCTGCGTTCCACTTAGTTTCTGATTTGGTTTGATTGTGGGTCTGGCGTGCTATCTGCACCTCCCTTGGGATCCAGCCCAATGTTTTGAACTATTTTCTTTGCTATTCACACCACGCAATTTTTATTTGTTTTATTTTATTTTTATTGTTTTCTGTTTTGTTTTAATTCAATTAAAAATAACTCCAAACATTGAAAAATTCCACAAAAACTATTTTAGGACACTTTAGTGTGTTAATTAATTTTTGATATTTTTTATATTCATTTTTCATTTATTTTTCAATTAAAATGGGAATTAATGATTGGAGAGGTTTTTAAATTGATTATTCATGTGTATCCTTTTGTTCTTGTCTCTTTATTGAGCAATTTTCACCACCTATGAATGAGACTCATTCCTCATTTCAATGATGAGTTGAGGAGTCTTTGAGACTGGCTTGTGGATTTTTGTTTGACCTTTTTGGTTGACTTTTGTGAGTTTTCTTTTGACCCTCGATAACCCTCCTTCAAAATGGTGCACCCTTGTGAATCAAATTCTTTGGTGATGTTTTGAATGGACATTGGTTGTGTGCTCTTAGCCTTTGGTTGCCTACATACTTATGTGCTTTTGAGATTTTATTTGGATTTATTTGAATCTTTTTCCTATTTTTGAGGTACCTTGCAAGTCAAGCTACTTCTAAGGATGGTTCACACATACATTTGACCTAGTTTTGATGGGAAATGACCATTGTGGATCCCTTAAGCTCCAAACTCTTTTTGATTCACATTCATAACATGTTGAAGTTGTTGGATGCTAATTTATAAGTCATAAAGTGGTTTGGTTCTTGTGCTAAGTTGCTTTCTTTTTAGGCTTTCCATTTGGTTTCAAATGTTGAGTGTTTAGAACTTAGGTTCTTTACCATGTATTTTGTTGCAACTTGTGTTGGCTTGCCTCTTTCTTGCATTTGCCTATCCCCTTCTCTTGTTCTCACTTCTGTCCTAGGACTTTGGGGACTCATCCAAGTTGATTTGGTGCCTCTTGGTTGCACTTTGAGTTTGACTTGGATGAGAGGCCATTTTGAGAACTTTCTTTTGGTGTGAGCTTGTCTAGTTCTTTTTGTGTGCATTCCCATTTTGTTTTGCATCTATCATTTGCATGTTTGAGGTTGAGATGTGCTTGTGGAGGCTACTTCCCTACACTTTGTTCCTCCCTCCTTTCTTCATGTTTGGTTGTGCATTACATGTTTGCATCTTATGTTTCCTTCTTCTTTCTTCCTTGCCATGTTCCCTTAGCACTTCTAATCTCTCTTGTTCAAGATTGATTATGATAGACCTTAGATTTGAACCCATGCATGATAACATTAGGTAGCATTCCCTTTTCAGAGTTCCTTTAGAGTTGTGTCTCTCTCTTCTCATTCTCAAACTTCTTCAAATCATTTAATAAACGATAATGAGTGTTGTACGCTACGAGTCTTAAGCATTTGGGAATCAAATATTGTAGTTCTCAAACGTGTAACAAAAAGATTCAGGAACGTCCACATGTTTCAGTATTGTTTCTCCATTGTTCCAAGTACTTCATAATCAGCTTTAATGATCAGATTTATAATCAGCTTTAATGATCAGATTTATAAGTCAGCATCTCTTATAAAATATGAGTAATATACAAGTTTATTTGCAAAATGAGACTATTAGTTCCATAGAACACTTGAGTCTTGCTAAAACTATGTTGGGGTATACCAACTAATAGAACAAATCTACACCATTTCACGATTTGCATATCAGAAATACACAGAGAAACTTTAAATTATGGGAATAGCTAGAATTTTACATTTGTTGATAAAATTTCCATTTTTACAGTCATATACAAGTTTTTTTTTCTTTTTCACTCCTAATTAGTTATTAGTATGAATTTTCTGGTTCCAATGATCATATCATCTTTGAATTATCAACATACTGAATAACTTCTGAGGCAACCTCAGAGACCCAGTCCACTGTGGTGCCAAAGAAAAGCTCCCAAAACCATAGATCCAACGCCAAGACGAACGAAAAGATGAGCAATGCTAGTGTCTGATAGCGATTCAACGGCCAACCTGAAGCCCTAGCCATTGTCTTCAGAAATGGAAATGAACTCGTATTAAGTTTCCTTTTCCTTATGGACCAGGCTGTTATCCACTCCACGCCGGATGGGATTAAATCGAACTCCTCCCGCAATCTCCTCCCGAGATCCGGCATATGGCCACCCCCGTAAAGTATAGCAATCCTATTGTTTCCCTTGTCCATTGCCGTTCTGAGAGCCTCGATTGCAACTCGATTCCGCTCCCCAATTATAACTGATTTCTCTTCTACATCTGCTGTAGCTAGTGTCAACCTTTACAGCAATAGTTTTATCATCAATACTCAAGTTATCTCATGGCTCAAAAACCCACCAGAACAAGAGTTCGTATAAATTTGAGAGGGACTTACTCGGATGTTAGTCTTTTTGCGAGGAAGAGCTTCATGGCGCCACTAAAATCAAGTCTTGACAATGCCTCAATTTCAGGATATTCTGATACTGGACTTTCCACATTTGCACAGACACTATCGATGAGAAAAAGGCCAACCAGCGGCATAGGAAGTACGCATGCAGCCCATAAAAGCTTGGATCTCCACGGATCAAGATCTTCCGGAATTGAAGGCTTCAACATCGCCTTTGTTGATCTAAGAGTCATATCCTTTGCAAAAGAAAATAAACTTTCACCTTTTGCTTCCTGAAATAAAATAGAGAAAAGTCAGACCCGAATAACGAAAATAAATATTGATCATTGTTCATTATCCGTCATAATCAACTAAAAAATTAGCAACTGAAAACCTGAAGTAATTGGAAGGTCTCGTAGTCAAGATCCGCATGTTGCCAATTTTCAGATTGGTAATTGAGACAATCTAATTGGAAATCAAGCCGGAGAACTTGAGCCATCTGTCTTTGAATGAATCCCAAAATGTTAAAACCCCTAGAGTGCGATCCTTTTAACCTTTTTATAGGGCTTCTCATATTCTCTAAAGTTTCCCTGCTAGCTACCATTTCATACAGGACGCAATCATAGGATTCGAGCTCCTTTTGGAGGGCCAGAAAATACCTGCTCATACAAATTAGGATTATCCAAATTAATAGTTGATACTGCTTCGGGAAAAATGTAAAAATATAATAAACAAATTAAGTCGATGCATCGGAAACACTAGTCCATTAGGTGGGGAAAAGAAACTAGTCCATTAGGTGAGATGCTTTCCATTTGAGATGGACTAGTGTTTCCATTAGATGGAGTGTCTCACCTCTCTTTTGGAAAGTCCATCTCAAAACACTAGTCCATTAGGTGGGGAAAAAAAACTAGACTTAGGTGAGACACTCCAATCTGTGACTCATAACAATGCACCACCATTAGAGAGGTGACTTCCTCGGCAGCTTATACTCCACAACACTTAACTCAGTGACAATTAACCAAATTTTCTCATTGGTGAGAACCCTCACCGGTCATAACCATTTGTAGATAGCCCTTTTCGAGAAAGCAGTTCTCTCAATGAAAGCACCAATCTTATGACCTGCATAAGTGTCTAAAAACCATTCTATAAAACTTCAAATGTATAGCTTTGTTCGTCTGAGAACTTAAGTCTCTCAACAATCCTCATGATTGGTTTCCCATAATTCTTCATAACCCTTCCTCATAGAATCCCATCAATTGTATCACTTCCACATCCCCACCCAAATTTCTTCACCATCTAACTACTCTAGCATGTTTGGATTCAAGACTCAATCACATTTTTGAGTCTTTCCAACAAAAGAAACGAATAGTGTATACATAAACTTAGAGCTCTTTCAAATTGAAATATGAAAACACAATGAAAGTGTTAGGAAGAGTTTATCTGAAATTATCTTATGACATAGATATTTGTATCTGTATCTAGAAGAGTTAATAAAAACAGAAAATGTTATGACCATAAGTTGTTGTATAAGTTGTTTACAACACATTGTCTAAACATTTCTAAAATAATATACAATGTATAGAATTTATCTTCATTTTCTCTTGAATAGTTCCAGACCAACTAAGAGCATATTTGGATTGGGTTACTAGAACCTATCTAGTAACATAAACACACTTGTGTGATTCTTTGAGATAGCTTGTGGAAACAACTTACAACATGTCGTTAAGTTGTTTTCATCTAATTTCCATAATCTCGGTTAATGTTGTGGTCGACCAAGACTGTGCCACTGCGGCTACGAGATATTGTCCACTTTGGGTATGTAAGAACCCTCACGACTTTGTCCTTTAGAAAATACACCTCGTTGGATTGAGGTGTATGAGTGTTATAAACTACCCTTAGCCTCGATTCTCAAGCAACGAAGAAATATTTTGGCCAACCCGGAATAGTTGCCCCAGTCGAGGCTAAGGGACGTGGTAAGAACTTAAAGTTTCCACATAAGGTGTCAATATTCCAGTCGACCTCGAGACTGTGCCACTGCGGCTACGAGATATTGTCTGCGTGTGTAAGAACTCTCACGACTTTGTCTTTTCGAAAAGACGTCTCGTTGGGTTGAGGTAACTGGGTGTTATATAATAAGACCCAATGACCCTAAGTTGCTGTTGAAAACTACCAAATCCAAAAAGCAATAAGAGGATAAAGTTAAAGATAGACAATACATACTCTTCATCAGCTATATGAATTGTTGAAATCAAATCAACCTACAACAAGAGCAAGATAGAGCATCAAGAAACCATTCTAAATAACTAAATAAAACCCAATTGAGAGAAAACAAAAAAGACACAAACTTTAAGCAACCTTCAGAAAAGGGCGCAAAATGGACCAAGGGAATTTCCTCTTATAGCTAACAACGGCAGTTTGCAACACACCAGAAGCACCATCAATCCCTTTCTTGAAACGCATGAAATCCGCCATGGAATTGTTCTTAAGAAACTGTTCCGGCGACCCATTGTCTTGTTGAGTGGATAAAGCGGAAAAAGAGGGTTTGAGTCTGAGAGTTGCATTTGAAAAGGGGGGTTTGGGGAATCCAACAAGAAAGGAAGGGGAAGTTCTGTTTCTGATGAGAGTGGAACTGGAAGTGGAAGAAGTATCAGAGAGGAATGAAGATGAAGAAGATAGAGTTGAAATTGAATTTAACACCATTGTTTTTGTTCTATGCTCTGCAATCTGATGCAGGTACAATGTGTGAGAGACGGGGGTGCGTGTGTGGATAGCTAGAAAAAAAAACGGATATTTTTGAAATTCACCGCTAGGGAAAACCGATCTTGCTACATCAAGTAACTACATTTACCATTATTTTGGAAGGACCCATTATTTAATTCAATTGGAATTACTTTTCTGATTGCCTCCCACCGTGAAAAATTATAACTGTCTGCATCTCCACATACATATTTTTAATGCATTTTTTTTGTGCAAATCGATGAGATGGTCGTGTTTTCAAAATTTAATTTTGAGATGCATTTATGTATGTGTAAAAGGTTAAGTCGGAGATGCATTTTTGTAAAAATCATTAATATTTATTCAAACTTTTATCATTTGAGCTCTTTCTCATCCATTTGATTTGGTAAGACTTTTAAAAAATTTATTTTTGTGTTTTAAATGAGTTTTTAGGTGACATAATTGGTTTAAACTCCATTAGATCGCAGTGCAATCGAAATAGGTAGGTTAAATGGACATGCCATTTTTTTTGTTAGGGCATCAATGGGGTATTTGTCACAGCTAAAAAATTACGACTTTATTCGGAGATGCATCTTCGCATTATGTCTAAAATATTTTCGGAGATGTATCTCTAGATTTGTACCTGCCTAATTTTTTGATGAAAATGTGATGTGATTGTGTTTTTAATGCAGATGTAATGGGTGAAAACAACTCTGGAAGAATTAGGCTCGACCGTGTATCTCAAACCGTGTTTGTACGACGTTAAAGGGCTGCAGCCAGGACCAAGAGTCGAAGATAACTTGTTTGATGGTTTACAATATTGAGGTTCACAACCATTTAATTATATTTCTCATATTCGTCCATCTCGAACCTCTACTTCACTGGGTCACGAGTCCCTAGATGATGTAGCAAAACCTGAAGCGCATGAAGTCCAGGAGGAAGACGTTGTTGATGTCCCAGTAGAGAGTTATCTAGGAGAACTGACACCTCTTTACTTCATCTGAATGGAAACCATTCTGCTAGGCATGTTTGGGAATGAGAGGCATATTTATTTACTTTTGCATTACATATGTTTTATACTAATTAAATCGCAACTGATGGTGATATTTTTTTTTTTACATGAGCTTTCATGTTTAAAATCAGTAAATCACAGCAGGAAGATATTGGATTTGAAACAGCCAGACACTGATTGGTTCAGGAATGTTATCTGATATTCTGGTTTTGTCGGTTTATACGTTATTGTGTACATGACCATAAACCATGGCATGCATGCGGCATTTGCAAATAGATGGCATTCAAAAACATCATCTTTTCATCTTTCTATTAGCAAGATGACCATTACCCTGGATGACGCCGCATGCCTCCTACATCTTCCCATAAAGGGAAAATTACTAGACCACAGAAGGCCCAGTCGAGAGGAAGCCAGCAAGATGTTGGTTACGTATTTGGGGGTTGACCCAACTAAGGTCGCAAATGAGGTAACTGACACCAGAAGTGTTCATGCTAGATTTAAATTTTTTGAATAACTCTATAAAGACCCCTTTAGATGGTCGTGGATGCCGACGGTGATGATATGCAGGTTGAGTCCCACCGATAATGTGCATTGAGGTGTTACCTCTTTTTCCTGATTGGCACGTCCATTTTTGTGGACAAAAGTGAAACCTATGTAGATGTGGTCTACCTTAAATACTTCATCGACTTGACAAAAATTCATGAGTACAACTGAGGGGCCTCATATTTGTCTACCTGTACTTGAAGCTAGACAAGGGTTGTCTTTGGAAGACAAAGTAAATGATAGGAAGTTGCATATTGCTTACGATAATTTAATGTTACTAATATTATCATAACTATTTTGTTACACTTGTTAATAATATTTTATCTGAACTATTTTCAAGGATGGATCATATCCCACATTCCTCACATTATTATGTGGGAACATGTGTCTAGCTGCATTGAGGATTGGCCACATGCTTCCGCCTTTGTGGCGTACATAGGGAATAATGCGATTGAGCCATTTTGGGTGTATTTTGACTGTCATGTAGTAGATGACATTGCCTTCTGCCCATACAGCGGTCACCGTCAAACGCGCCTGTTGGACCCCATCTTGTTATACTCCAGGTGATTGGCATGTGGGCCAGGTTTGATGTATTTGTATATATCCGAGCGAGTAATGAGCCAATTTGGGTATTTGTAGATTATTTTGAGACACCCCTCAGAGTCCGCTCCTCCCACCATCCGCCGCAGAGATCTCGATGTGATACTTAAGGATTTTGAGAGTCACTTGGTACTTGAGGAGTATCACAGGGTGTCACACCCTATCATGATACCAGACGCTCCTAGAAGACCACTTAGGTCTTCTAATCATGAGGTGTTTGAGGCTAGGGGTAACCACACCCAGGATGTGAGCAGTGTCTGTCGGCGTATTATGGATATAGCAAGATTGGACATAGAGGCATGACATTTTGAGTAAGGCATTCCCCAATTCGCCCTCATAGAAGGAATTATTTTAAAGGCTCTGAATGCCTTGCAATACAGGTGGAGAAGCCATGGGACACATTAGAATTCAACATCATTTGATTTTATCACTTTCACATTTAGGTCATAACATCTATATGGGTTACTATTTGTTGCATACCCAATGAATACACATTCATAGGATGTATTGGCAAGTTTGACTCACTTCGGATCCAGAATTCTGACATAAGTCAGACAACCCCATGTTCTAAAGTAAAACAAGTTTGGTTGAATTTTATTCAATATATCATAAGGAGAGATATTATTTTTAGACTTAGAAACTCTCTTCAGGACATAGAAAAATAGTCAATAAAATATCCCTCACTAGTGAGATTCAACACCATAATTCGGCATAATAGCAATGACTAGTTTAATAAGATTTTTATTCTTTCTTTCTAATTTATTATTCATTTTAGAAGAATATGATGCATACGTTTCATGTTCAATTCCATGTTGTTTATAGAATTCATAAAATAAACGGGAATCTTATTCAGTTCCTTATCACTACGAAGTTTCTTAATCTTATTACTAAATTAATTTTCAATTTCATTCAGATAATCCTTAACATATCAAGTCCTTAACTTTCATTCATACTAAATTCATTTTTCAATTTCATTTATAAAAATCTTAAACGTATAAATTTCACAAAAATATCATTCTTAGTGATTGTATACAAATCTACCCCAGTAAACTAACTAAACCCTGCCTTATTCAGAAGAAAACTAGAAACAAGATTTTTTATAATCTCACAAGTATGAATGATATCCTTCAAGATTAAATTATTTTCATAGGTGGACTTCAGCTCCACTTCTCCAATACTGGCAACATTAGTTGTGTGGGTAACTCTCAACAACACTTTCTTATTTATGTATATTTTGAACATTGCATGGTCATAACAGACACAACGAGAGGAGTAAATTTCTATCCACCAACCATTATACTCATTAATCATGTTGATTTTTGTAAACAAAGTAATAAATTGATTATTAACCAGGCTAACTTGTGCATTAGGGGCAACACAAGGTTTAAGCCTGATTTTACATTTCTTAATCATATAACCTGATTTCCCACAATTGAAGCAACAGAAAACACCACTTCCATTTCTTTGTTGTCGTGTTTGTTTCCTATCATTTGGATTAATTAGGTCCCTTGAAGGATTCTTATTCTTATATTTACTTACAATATTGCAGTTTTTTAATCATTTGCAAATTGCTTCATAACTACACTAAATTTCTTTTTATTATTTGAAACAACCAAGAAATTTTCTTTTTGATCTTATCTCCGAGATTCTCCTTCAATTAAAATGCAAATAATCAAACTCTCAATAAAAAATTCTTTTTGTTTTATGGCAAATCAAAATTTTAAAACTTTCAAACTAGGGGCAGTTTATCAATAATAAAACAAATTTGAAATTGTTTAACTAAAGACATACATTTGGTGATGATATCATAAGAAAACTTTTAATGTTTTTGACATTGAGTCTACACAGATCTTTCATAGATATCATCTGATACATGAGGCAGTGACTTACAATATACTTCTTTGCTTTAGCTTCTTCGTGTCATACTTCTTTTTCAAAGTCCCACAAACCTATTTTGCAGTATAGAAGCTACTGCAATAATCATACAAATCATTTGTGAGTCCATTCAAAATATGATAATCATTTTCTTTCCATGGGGAAATTTCTTTCATGAGTTGTAAATCGTTCTCTTTAATCTGTGCAGCAGATCTAACTTCAATAGAATTAACAGATCCATATAAATCCACATATTTCTTTCCGTAAGTTTGTTCAGTTGATATAGAAGAAGAAACAGGGATGTCATAAGTCAAACATTGAAAACCTTTTTAAGGTTAAGAAAAATCATAATTTTTGTTACCAGCGCTTGAAGTGACTTCTCTCAAACTTTAATGGTTTTTCAGAGACAGCGACAGAAATGCCAATAATCTCCTTGTTAGCTGTGGCATTTTGAAACAACTTAAAATTGTTTTAGAGTTTTGAAAACTTTCCATTAAGAAAATTATCGAGTCGAGTTGTGGACTAGGTCACTCTCTTTAAGACATTGTTCGACACTTCTCAAAGTTGTGCAAAGTAGACACTCAATTACGACGCCTCCAAGATAAAACAATTGAGTTATATATTGTATGATTACTATTTGTGTGGCAGATAATTAGTTTAGAAATACACCTCTGATGGTACAAATATCATTCAAATATGGTATAAATATCGCTCGTAGTATTTGGTATAAAGATCAGTCATAGTAATTTCTCAAACAAGAAAAAATTCAAATAATTCTCTAAAGAGGATTCAATAATGGTCATTTGACCACTCAAAATGATTTCTTCAACAAAGAGAAATAATTCTCCAAAGAGAATCCAAATACAATACTAAAGGTGTGAAAAGTACACAAGAAGGGGGGTTGAATTGTGTTTCGCATTCTCTTTTAATTTAGCTTCTGATCAGATTTTCAGAA